ACCTGACGCCATCCGCGAGCCCCCCCCGGTTAAGATTGCCCGTTGGAAAAGCCCTTGACCTTGGGTGCCCCGGTGGGTGGCCCCCCCCAGGCCTGCCCGCCCGCCCCCCCGCCCGGGCCCTTCTTCTTCTTCTTTTCCCCCCCCCCCCCCCCCCCCCCCAGCAGCACACTGGTTCCGATGACTGGGGTAGTGGGGAGGGAGGCAGAAAAAGAAGAAGAAGAATGGCCCAGCCAGTCAGCCAGCCAGCCAAGCCTAGCTGGCGCCACACACCCAGCCACCCAACGTCAACGGCCTTCTCCACTGGCAATCTTAACCTGCAGTCGCCTGCAGATGGCGTCCAGCTGCGCCACCAGCTCCTCTAGCTGCTCAGTCTGCAAAGAAGGCGGGAGGTTGCAGCATCAGCCACCAGCCTCCAGCCCGCATCGCCCTACATGCGCCCGCACAATGGACTCGCAAACCTGCGCCTCCAGCATGCCCAGCGCCCGCAGCTGTGGTGCCACCTGTTTCCCGTGCTGCTGCCACAGCTCTTCCAGCTGGCGTGTGGCTGCCGCTGCACCGCCGCCCAGTTGCTGGCACCGCTCTGCAACCGCCTCGTTGCATGCATGCAGCAGCCGCTGCTCGCTGCAGCCCTTGGCCAGCTCGGCACTGACAGACAACCGTAGCTGGGTCAGGAGGCAGGGGGCGGCTCCGGGCATGGTCGTCATGGAGGGCACAGCAGCGGGTGCTGTCGAAGCTGGGTCACTCCCAGCTGCCATTGGGCCGGTGCAGCTGTTGCCGCTGCATTCGTCGTTGGTGGGGCAGCTCATCCGGCGGGCGACTGTGGCGGCAGCAGGCGGCGGCGGGGAGGAGGCGATCTCCGCTGCTGGAGTAGGTGGTGGTGGTGTGCGGGTAGTGGGAAACAACAACAGAAAGAACCGGTGAGTTCTCCTGCAGCGGGATAGCTGCAGTTCCGTGCTGCTGCTCGTGAGTTGGTCCTGTTTTCGGAGCCGAGGAGCAGGATGGAGCAGTTTCCACAGAGCTGAATATGTTTGGTGGCGGGGAGCTGTGAACTTGAACTGATTTGAGGTCAGAAATCCTGCAGCAGTACACCTGCCTCGCTGGTTTGTGTTGCGTGTCTGTTCTCATCTGATACAGTGTACACAGTGCCCACAAGGCCATGGTCTGCGCGGTAGCAACAGCATAGAGTCTTTCCAATGAAGTCTCGCTCTCAAGCACGAGCCGAGGCGAGCTCGGATGGCAGCCAGCAGCAGCAGGAGCCTTCAACAGCGGCAGTGGGGGCTGCCCCGCTGCCACCCGCCGCCGACGAGGCACCGCCGCCTGCAGGCAACAGGCCGAGCAGCCCCTGGCATGCGTTAGACGTGCAAAGCGTGGACAATGGCCGCACCCCGCTTCACAAACAGGCAGACGGCGGGAGCCTGGCACCAGAGTCGGCAACCGAATCGGTTGCGCTGTTGCCGGCTCGTGCAGCAGTTCTGCCAGGCAGCCTCTCACCCCAAGAGAAAATCTACATGACTGCGCTCTTCACAGCAACGGCTGCACTGTTGTATGCCGACCAGAATCTGTTGGCGCCCAATTTGACTGCAATTGCTGAAGACTTTGGCTTCGATGATCAGCAGCGAGACCGGCTGCTGGGAGGTTTTATAGCGGCCGCCTTCTTTGGAGTTGGGGCTCCAGCGGCGCTCCTGTTTGGCTGGCTGAGCGACAGGGTCAACCGGTGCAGGCTGCTCTTTGCGGCAGTTATGCTGGGTGCGCCTGTGGATGTGGAGCCAGCTTGCATTAGCCTGGATGTCCATTGTATTGGCTGTCCACTGCCGCAGGCGAGGCCCCTACCATTTTGACGATCGTGGTTACAAGATACTGGCAGCTGTTCACGTTGCGGCTGTTGACGGGCATTGCGCTGGGGGGCGCCTTGCCGTGCGTGAGGCCAGGGGCAGGCTGCATGTGGAGGGCCCGCAGCCCCGAGCCATGTGCTGAGGGGCGCTTTGGCCGCCCATCTCACATACCCCCTCTATGCCCTCCCGCCCCGCAGGGTTGTATTTTCACTTTTGGGTGATCTCTTTCCCCCCTCCCGTCGCGCTGGAGTCAGCAGCATCGTGCAGCTCAGCACAGGTGTCGGCCTGGCGCTGGGCCAGGGCATCGCCGGCTTTGTAGGTGCGCATCGAGCGCACTGCTGGCCCAGACTGCAATGTGTTCTGTGCATGAACGGGGCTTGTACATTCCAATTGAGCTGCAGGCCCTGCAGCTGGGTGGAGGTGGCCCTTTCTCATCGTGTCACTGCCCGCGGTAGCAGGTACCATCCCCACGCAACCATGTTGATGCGCAACTGCCCAGCTGTGTTTTTTTGCTCTTGGCTTGCTGGCTCTCCTGGCCAGAAAGTCTGAACCAGCACTTCCACCAATGTGTGCAGTGTCCTGCGTGATGCTGCTCACTTGCCGAGAGCCCCTGCGTGGTGGCACCGAGGCTGCGCTGCAGGAGCACTTTCAGGTAGGCCGAAAGAACCAGCGCATCATGCCTACTTCTTGCACTCAAGACTGCTCCTCATCCCATTGCAGGACCACCCTGAAGACTTTGCATACAGCGAGCAGATGACGTGGAGAAAGCTGGGTCGGCTCCTTCTCATCAAGACCAACGTGCTGGTGATTTTGCAGGCGCGCAGTGGCCAGGGGCTGTTGGGTTGTGGCTTTGCTTCGGTGAACCTGATCAAAGCTGACCCAGGTGCCGTATTGCTCTTGCAGGGCCTGTTTGGTTGCCTTCCTTGGGGCATGATCCTCGTGTTTCTGAATGACTTCATGTCCCAGGACAAGGGCCTGACTGTGCAGCAGGCCACGCTGGTGCTGCTCGTCCTAGGGATTGGCGGTGGAGTGGGGGTGGTGGGGGGCGGATGTTTGGGTCAATGGCTCTACAACCGCCAGAAGTGGAGCATGCCCGCGTTTATCGGTAAGCGCCCCGGGCCGTCTGCCAAATGGCTTTGTTTGGGGGGCCAACACAAATTGCCCCCCCCCCCCCATTGTTGGGCTGAATGGACTTAACTTCCCGCTGCAGGCACTTGCACTATTTTGGGGGTTTTACCCATGTATGCTCTTCTATCGGACGTTGCCTCTGCTATGCCGCTGACCATCATCATGGCGATGCTGACGGGCGCGCTGAGTGGCACAGTGGGGCCAAACATGCGGTAGGCTGGCATCGCTTGTGGCGCGCCCTTTCAATGCACGTGTTGATGTTCTATTCACTGAATAGACTCCAAAATGACCCATCCCTATGCTGGGCAGTGCTATGATATTGAATGTCAACGAACCAGAAACGCGGGGCACGGCACTGGCGCTGCAGACCATGCTGGATGACGTTGGCAAGGGTGCGCGGGGCACACTCTCAGGAATGCCTGCACACTGCTGTTTCCTGATGCCTGGGTTGCCTCTCCCCACGTTGCCACCCTTTCAGGCCTGGGCCCCGTGTTTGTGGCATTCTTTATTCAGCGGCTGGGCCGCGTTGCAGCTTTCAACCTCAGCACTGCGGGCTGGATACCATGCGGCTTGTTGCTGCTGGGCACCAGCTTCACGCTGGCAAGAGATGAAGCTGCCATGCAACACCGGCTTGGGCGCGTGCTGAGCAGGCGCTACACCTTCTCGTCATCAGCACTGCGTCAGCTAGAAGATGAACATGGGCAGCCCCTCCGTCAATGACCCACCGCCCTTTCTCGCCTAATTGTAATTTAGCATGGTACAAAGGTGTTAGCACCGGAGCACAGTGAATGAAATGAAATGCCAGGGATGAAATGATAAGGTGTTGCCAATTCCTGCGACTGACTCTCGTGAGCCTCCTGCCACTACCAGGCATCTATTTCCTCTCGTATGTTGGGAGCAACGCGATTGCGCTTTGTAGTGGTGGTGGCTGGTTTGGTCTTCGCTTTGCCAGTGCCAGCGCCCTTAGCGCTGCTGCTGCTCCTGCCGACGATGGCGCCATTCTCAGCGGAGGCCTTGCTGTTGGCACTGGCGGCCCTCGCTCCAACAGCATCAGCCGTGAGGATGTCGGCCAGTGCCATGTCCTCCCCACCATCCACGCTGCCCTGCATGCTGCGCCGTGCTGCATATGTCTTGGAGGCCAGCTCAAACAGGCCCTGCAACAGGGGGTCGGCAGCAGAGGAGCTCCTAGGGGTGTGTGTGTATGAGGGGGGTGGGGTGGGGGCCGGCGCGAGCGTGCAGACAGCGCGGTGGCGAGGCCGGTGGTGTCTGCCAAAAAAATGCCGGGAATGTGGCCACCCAGATAGGTGCCTGATGTTTGCTTTCTACTCACCTCCCTGCCACTTAGCCCTGTGCTTGCAGCCAGCTCGCTGATGTGCTCCTGCCACTCGCTAAAGCCAGGCTTGCGGCTGCCAGTCACAGCATATCCCAGCTCGCCGGCAAGCTACAGCAGCAAAAGATGAGAGCTTCAACGGGCCGAGATGCCCCAAGCCGCACATTGTCACTCGTCTTCTTCACTTGACAATGCTCACCTCGTACAGCCCTCCCCAGCGCTCCACAGCTCGCGCAATGTCATACCGCCCTGCCCCGTACAAAGTCATCTTTTGCGGGCATAAGGCCTCCAGAACGGGTGAGAATGCCAGGTAAGGCAGCCGGCATTTCCGCCCAACCAGACGCATGGCATATCGATTACCATGGAGCGCTGACTGCATGAACGACTTGCTACTGCACCCACCCGGGGGAAGGCCCTGCTCCTCAATGAATTCGTCCAGCTCGGCCCTCACATTTTCTGGAGAATCCCAGTAGCCCTTGGGCCGCCTGCAAATTGCAGTGCAATATCTACCCCTCAGCAGCGCCCAAGCAGCACATAGACAGCTGGGTTCAACGCAGCAACACTGCCTTTCACCTGCCCTTGGCCTTCAGCTTCCATCCCAACTGCTGTGCCACTACGGTGGGACCACCATGAGCACTGATGGCCTTTTCCAAGTCGCTTCTGCACTTGCACACAATTTGGTAGACGAAATGCAGCCAACCAAGATCTCTGCAGCTCCAGCATGCACCAGCACCACAAGGCGATGCACACCTGTTCATCTCGCGAAGCTCGCTGCGAGTCGGCAGCACCCCATTGGTGCCAAAGCAGCGCTCCAACTCCGCCACCAAGACAGCAAAGTCATCCACCATGTCTGCATCCCCCACAACGACAAATACAAAGGTACATCTCACCGTTGCTTAATAGGACGCTACCGCGGCTGGGAGCACCGCATTGTGCACCAAGCAGGACCAAAGCTTCCCACGACAAGACTTGCCTGATAAGGAGGGCCGTTCCACTTTACGTCGCAGCGCTGTGGCAGCAGCGCTCTCTCCCGCCTCTTCAAGCCGCCGAATGTCGCGCTCGGCCTGCGAGATTGGGAAGCAAGACAGACACAAGTCGCAATACAATTGTACGTGCACACCAGGAATAGCATGGCAGCTGCCCCGCAAAGGTCTACCTGCAAGCTTTCCACGCGCTGCTTGATGGCGGCGAGGTTGGAGGGCACATCCTCGAAGACGGTGCGCTCCAGAAGCGGTTCCAGCACTCCCAGCATGCGGGTCGAACGAGGAATGACAATCTCCACAGCATACTTGAGCTGGGTCTGTGAAGCAGAAGGCTGCAAACCATGAAGAGGAAAACTCAGTGGCAATTATGGCAAAAGGGACAGATGCGCGTGCAAATAAGCTGTGGCAGGTGCATAGGTGCTGCACAGCTATGGAAGAACCGAGGCCCCCACCACGTAGAGATGCAGGCCTCACCTCCGCATCGCTGGTGGTGCTGCTGCTGTTGCCAGATAATGGCAGCCCTTGAAGCATCCACTTGCCCTGGAACCGCTCAAAGTCGCCTGCCACCTGGCGAAACTGGATCTCGCTGCAGACAACAGGACTCTGCCGGGTTGCGACAACTCGGGCCAGGCATGTGCGTCCTGCTAGCGCCCCATCCGTGAGCCTCTAACCAACTCACCCCTGCGGCTTCTCGATGAGGTCCAGCACACTCTCAGCATGCAGGCACATGTAGAGCATCCGCTTGTAACCAACCTGCACACCACACTTGGGTCAGTCAGCGGATGCGGATGTGTCATGCTGACAGGCTCCAGCATCCCTGCCTCCGTGCCTGCCGTATGCGGATAATGTTGGCGGGCGCGTTGCTAGGCAGCGCAATGCGCTGGCTAACTGCCAGGTTGGGTATGAACTCCGCCAGCCGATTATAGTCTGTCAGCACATCCCACACAGCCTAGATGGCAGGGAAGAACAAAACACGCACAACCGTCAGGTCATCCAGCGAACAGCAGCAACGTCCGACATCCCATCACGACAAATCACCGCATTGCTGCCGGCGAGCACACCTCTGGAGAGGCATCTATGGTGATAGCGGCCACGGCTCGCCGGTGCAGCATGTCAAAGGTGTCCAACCGGCGCAGGTGGACCTCGGCAGCTCCAGCAGGCACAGCACGGCTGCTGCCACTGCTCCCCAGGCCAGTTGGCACAGGCAGCGCGTTGGAGGTGGGGCTGACAGTGCTGGACCCGTTGCTGCTGGCGCGGCTGTCTGCCCGCCTCAGCCCAAAGGCTGGGTATGCTGCCTGCAACTGCTCCTTCACCTCCTGTCGCTGGTTGAGCTCGTCCTGCGTCTCAGGCTGCATGGTGCTGCGGTTGCCTGCGGGTGGCAACGGCACAGACACAACCCCGAGGTACAGAGACTGCGGGTCGGCCTGCTGTTGCAGCTGCAGCGGCCGTAACGTCTGCTCCTCCTGCTGCGGCTGCGGATCGGCAGGCCCCGCCCCCTGCTGCTGTCGCTGTCGATCCGCAGTCAGAGGGGCAGCCTCAGGAAACGTGCTGCCGGTCAGGCGCCAAAAGGGGCCCTTGCTGGGGAGCGTGTCATCCCTGCCCTCTGCCTGCCGCCGCTGTCTAGAAGCCTCGTCCACTGCTGCTGCAGCACAACGCGCGGCCTGCTCCTCTGCGACCTCCTGCTCCCAGGACAGCCTTCCCACTTCTGGTGGTGGCAGCTGCACTGGAATTGGTGGGTCGTCCTCGATACCTGCCCACCGAGCCAGGCCAGATGCTCGCAGCTTGGTGGCAGCTATCTGCAAGCAAAACACAAGCCCCTTCCCGTGCTCGACATCTTTGGCCATAGTCTGTAACGCTGCAGCCCGACTGAATGACAGTGGTGTCCCTTGGGGGCAAACGGAGAGCACGCAGCATGGCGCACCTCCTCTGCCCTGCGCGACACTGCCTGTATGTTTGCGGGCAGGCCCGCTCGCACCACGTAACTGACGACAGAGCTGGGCAGAGAGATCTTGGGCTGCAGCAGGAAAAGAAGTGACAAACAATTGAGCGTGGGTATTAGGGATACACCACTAAAATGGGTGTGTGCTTAGGCATGCACTGTTGCACACCTGCACGGTGATGTCAAACCGCAGCAACGTGGCCATGCCCACTGCACTGCTAGGGTCCGGCTCCACCACCCAGCGCCCGCTCATCTCCTGCACTCGGGCACGCGTTCAGGACGCAAGAGCTGCTGGCGCGCCATCGCCCAGCTGTCAGGCAGGCAATGGCTATCCAAATCCATAACAGGCAGGCCTTTGGCCAACCTTGAAATCGCCATCGACCATGTTGAACCGCGCTTCTCGCCGGCCCAGCGGCAGCCGAACCTGCAGCGAACAGTGGCCTTGCTGCTGCTGGGAAGTTCCATCCTTGGATATGATGCACGATGCAACAAGCTCATAGGCATGGGCCACGACTTACGGCCTTGATGCCTGCAGCCAAGCGCAATGCAAGTAATGGCAGCCCGGCAGGACAGCAGCGCAGCAGCCCACCTCCTCAACCGCGATCACCGCTTCCGCCTCCAGACGCCACAGTACGCCCTGGCTGCACCCCCGCTGCCGGATCCACACCTGCAGAAGCGAGGGCGTGAAAGGTGTGTTTAATGATCTGCTATCTATGATCTGTTGTCAATTATAGTGACCATCAACAAAAAATGCACGTGCCAGAAGCCCACCCGGCCGGTGCGAGGGCTGGGCAGCCGCTCGCAGCTCTCCAGGTTGGGCACAAAGTCGGCCAGCCGCTCGTAGTTGGTGAGTACCCGCCACACCACGTCCACGGGCGCCTGCACCACCGTCTCGGCCACGATGCGCTTGCCGCTGTCCTGCTTGGCCGCCTCGTACACCTTTACGGTGCTGCGGGGTACGCTGCTGCTGCTGCTGCCCCCACCATAGCTGCTGCCTGCAGCTCAAGGGTGAAGCCCAGTCGTGCTGCAGCCGGCAACGTTGCCCCTGCAAGGCGGCGCCTCTGGCTCCGCGCCGGCAGCGAGCGGTGGTGCCTACTACACTTAATGGCGAGCTCCCTCCGTTCAACCATACAGGAGTCAACCACCTACCTGCATAACCAGCCGCAGAGGAGAGTGGTGGAGCTCGCTGCTGCCGCCTGGGGTGCCGTGGCGTCTGCAAGCTGCGGCCGTCTCGCAAGGGTTGTGCTAGCTGCTGATGGCGAGCTGGACTGTGTAGCGTGCAGTGTGTGTAAGTAAAGGCTGAGGAAGCGGCCCCCTCGGGGGGCCTCATATGGCTCAGAGCAGCGGCTCCAGAGCTCTTCCCGGGCCGGACGAGCTGTAGGCACTAACAAATGTTTCGGACACCCAGGATTGGCTGCCGATGAGTTGTACCTATGTACAGCCGGCACCGCCACGGCGGCCGCGGTCTCACTTGCGTGTGTGCTTAGTCAACTCTGCACGGTGTGCCGGCCAAATTATACACTCTTCCAATACTCTGGACAAGACATTGTGTTCTATTGTGTTCGATTGTGATACCGAACAGTGTAGTGCACATGCCACCCACCGTCACATGACGGATACTGTGGCCCACCCCACACGCAGCACACAGTCTCTAAAAGACAATACCCCGCCACATGCAGCCCTGCTCGACCTGCTGCAGACTGTCCACTGCTGCGCTCACTTGTCGTCACTCGCCGCGAGCCTTGCGGCGCCGTCGCCGCTGCCAACTCCCGCCACCGGCATACTGCACAGTTCAACGCACCTCCCGGGCTACAGAGCATGAATTCCTGAGGGGGAGAGCCAAGCAAAAGGTTAGGTGGGATAATTGATCTGAAGAAGAGGGAGTGGCGGTGAACCTCCGCGGCGCGGCTGGCCCGTGATCGGACCAGCGGCTTGCGAGTAATGAATGGCAAATCGCCCCAAGGGGCAAGCGAGCTCGAATGTCGGATGAGCGGACCCTGGCGTGCGTGTGTGGGGTTCGCGATGGGTGCCGAATCACGCCCTCCCGAGGGCCAGGCTGTCTCATCCTCGTTCGATTTGCCCTCCCCGACCTCATCGGACCAGGATGCAGGCCTCCCTCGCCCCCACCCGGGTTGCCCTCGGCCGGACCTCCTCCCGCGTGCAGGTGGGCTGCCCCTTTCCCCCAAGCCCCCGCCTTTCTGGCAGCCGGGTGACCTGACGGCAGTGTGGGGAGCCAGCGGGCGGTATTTTTTGCACCCGACTGGGAACCAGTCTTGGTGGAGGGTGCCGCCATCGGCGCGGGAGGCCCTTTGCTCCTTGCGTCCTTCCTCTTAGCGAGAGTGTCAACCCTCGACCCTCCTGCCGGTGCCGCTGGGATTGTGCAGGCCCGCCGGTCCGCGGTGGTGGTGTATGCCGCCTCCCGCCCCCTGTGGCAGCCCGGCGTCACGCCGCCCGCCCACCTGGACGGCACCCTGCCCGGCGACTTCGGCTTTGGTGAGCCACGTGGCACAGGCAGCAATCAGCTGGGCATGCCATGGCAGGCTGCTCGATGGTTGGATGCATTGACAGCATCCTGCTCGACGTCCTGCCCTGCAGACCCCCTGAACCTGGGCGTGAACAAGGAGGCGCTGGACTGGTGAGAGTGAACTGAGGCAGCCAAGCGCGCATGCACGCCTCACCCAGGGCACGCTGTGGAAGCCAGCTCCATGCCAGGGGAGACAGCATCATCAAGGTCGTGCTGCTGTCGCTGTGCAGGTATCGCAACGCTGAGCTGCAGAATGGCCGCTGGGCCATGCTTGGCGTGGCCGGCATCATCTTCCCCGCGGTGCGAAACCTTGCGCTGCAAAACAGCAGCACGTTGCAGCAGGACAGCGGCACAGCTTGCTTTGGCGGTGGGCAGGCGTCGAAATCGCCCGGCTGGGGGCACACGACCATAACCCATCGCTGACTCCGCGCCCAAGCCTGCTGCTGTTTCCCACAGGAGCTGACCCGTGTGGGCCTGCTGAACGTGCCCGACTGGGCGGATGCGGGCAAGGTGTATGCTGAGAGCGAGAACGCCATCCCCTTCGCCTCGCTGCTCATGGTCCAGTTTTTCCTGTTCAACTTTGTTGGTGAGCCATCCGCTTTTGCATGTTGCATGTCGGTGACTGTTCGCACAGAGTTGCTTGCTGCAGTCACATGCCCGCCACCAACACCAACGCCACGCCTTGCGCCTCACCGCAGAGATCAAGCGCTGGGAGGACATCAAGAAGCCCGGCAGCCAGGCGGAGGCGGGCAGCTTCCTGGTGAGCACTCACCAAGGCGGTGGTGGTGTCGTGCCTGGAAAGCGGTGGCAGCGCACTATGCTTCCAAGCCGCAGCACCAGCATTTATCGACGCCAAGCTGCCTGCCTGCTTGCGTTCAGGGCTTTGAGAGCGCCTTCAAGGGCTCTGGCGTGAGTGGTTACCCTGGCGGCCCCTTCAACCCCCTGGGCCTCGGGTGAGTGGTGGGGCCACCGGCTTGGATTGTTCGCACTTCATTACTCACTAACTCCAGCCCCAAGCTCACTGTTGTTCGTGTGCCCGCGGCCCCGCCATTACTCTGGGTGCAGCAACAGCAGCAAGGAGTCCATGGACGACTTCAAGTGGCGGGAGATCCGCAACGGCCGCCTCGCCATGATGGCTTTCCTTGGCTTCCTGGCCCAGCATGCCGCCACTGGCAAGGGGCCGCTGGACAACCTGGCTGGTGGGTGCCTGGTCTTGGCTTAATGTTGCCTGGCAGGCACGATGACCGTTATCGACTGTGAGGGATTGCCAACCCCTCCCTCATTCTTACCCATGCTCCTATTGCCCTGCCGCAGATCATCTTGCGGACCCGGTAAGTTTGCATAGGGTTTTCGGTAACTTTTGGGCTTTTGGTGTTAGCCTGCCTTGTGGTGTTGGTGTGCTCGATGCAACTAACACAATTTCTCTCTCCCTTCTTGCAGTGGGCGAACAACTTCTGCTCGAACGGCGTGAGCCTGCCTGTCTCCATCTTCTGAGGTAGAGAGGCTCAGCTGACGAGAATCCCGAGATGCTGAATTTCCTTCCTTTTTCGCTACAGTAATTGCTGTGTAACTTCTCGCTGACATTGCGGCAGGGAGAGACAGCTTGCATACAACAACATATGATGTTACAAGCGTCGTGTCAGCCTCCTCATTTGGACCACAGGCTCTCCCACTGCCCGCTGGCACCACCAAGTGCTGCAGCAGTTGCGCGGGAAGAGGAAGGCATCGCAGCAGGCAGGCCCGGCAGGCCATGTGGCTTGGCTGCAGGTCTCCCCAAGGCTGACACTGGAGGTTGTTGCTGCTGCTCTTGCAGTGCCACACTTGCTGCACCCGCAGTCTTCTTGTCCCGAGGCTTGAAGCCCAGCAAACGAAGAACGAAGCGTGCCAGCTCTCCATATAGCGAGCCAAACCTGCGCCCGATGGAATCAGCGCAGCAGTGAGTGCCGCCATTTGCGCCAAACTTTGTGCCATTTGACCATTGGCCGCACACCTGTCTAGCAGCTGCAGCAGCGCAGAGATGAAGAAGTGCACCGCGTGTGCATTCTCGTCTACCAAGAAAGACAAGCGCCCAAAAAAGTGGACCACCCCTGCAGCGATGGCATGCTCGCATCGGGGCAAGGTGTGTGGTGGGCAAGGTGTGTGGGCCAACCTGCCAAGCCATTCCAAGCCTGCACAACACTGGTCGGCTGCGACTTCTCCCCAGCTGTGCCTGTCCCACCTGAAATGGCATGGAGCATGGCCTGCCAGGCCGAGGGCGGCTGCGGAGGGGCATTGGGGTCGTTGGGATCGTAGGGGCCTGCAGTGTGCGACAAGTGTGCAAGAGGTCGGGAGGCGGTATTAGATGTGCACTCCTTGGGCTCACCGCAGCCCTTTTGCCATGCACACTTTGACAGCCAACTCACCCATCATTCCCGGCCCGTACATTCCACCGCCGCCGTAGCCGCCGTACATTCCACTGCCATACATGCCGCCTCCACCATACATGGCGGGTCGACCATACATGCCGCCGCCAAAGCCGCCGCCCCCATACATTCCGCTGCCATAGCTGCCATACATGCTGCCTCCATAGCCGCCACCGTACATGCCCCCACCGTACGCAGTCTGCGGCCTGCATCCAGGCAACGCAGCACACTTGCCAGTGCGGGCACGTATGTTCACAATTCTGGTGGGCGGCAGCGAGTGCATTGAGCAGAGTCGGTGAAAGATGCTTGGCGCACCTGTTGTATAAAGAGGTGCCGTAGCCGCTGCCGTAGCCTGCACCGTAGCTGGTGCTCGCAGCACTGGTGACCGCGCCGCCCTGGTGCTCCCAGGGGCGTGGCGGGGCCTGCGCCGCCCCGCCACCGCTCCCGCTGGTGACGGCCGCTAGTGCGCTGGTGGTGGCTGCCGCGGGCGTCACAGTCTGTGTGGGTGCGCCTGCGCAGGCGGGCGGGGATAGAGCCACAGATATGAGTGGCAAACCAGCGGCGGCGCAATTTCGCCGCTCGCCGCCGGCCGCTCCCAGCCTGCAGGCGCAGCCAGCGCACCTGCCGGCCGCTCCCATGGCTTGGGCAGGCCGTCAGCCGGGCTGCTCGTGCCCTGCCCGGGCCGGCTGCGCTCCCACGGCTTCCCTGCAGCACAGCAGTCTGTGCGGGCGGCGGCGTGTGAGCCCAGCGAGAGGTCGGGGCTGCTGAGTGCAGTTGGGCCTGAGCCAGTGCCCCGTCCCCCCTACCTGCCATGGCGGCCTCGCTGAGTGGCTTGCGACTATGGTTTGGCGACTGCGAGAGGTTTGTACACGCCGGAGCTGCATACGAGTTCAGGCAACTCCTGCAGTACAGTGCCGCGCGGGCGCGCTGGCGTTGCGCGTTCAGAGGTCGGATGTCATGCCGGCACGTACTCTGAAATCGTCGCAATCTGAAATCGTGTCCCCAGCTGCCCCTTCGGTTGCGGGACTCTGCTGTCCTCCCTGTCCCGCGCGTGTAGTGGCCCAGGCAGGTCACGGGCACGCAGGAACAGCCGAAACCCTCGCCAGAAGACGGCCGAGAGGAGGGGGACGTCTTCTGGCACCCACTGCATCGCCCGCCGCCACCTCGCGGGCGGGCCGACCGCGCACACAAGGGCACGTGCTGGGCGATGGCGGACGAGGAGGAGGCCATCGTGCATGGCCCCATGCATCAGCCCACCTCGCACCTGGACCTCACGGATGCCGCAATCAGCCAGGAGGCTCACCTGGCGCCAGATGGAGGTGTGCTGCCCGGCGTGCCGCCTGCTTGCCGCCGCTGCTCGGTCACCACGTGTTGCCGTGCTTCAATGGTTCCGTTCCTGACCCACGCAGGAGGCACCACCATCAGCAAGAAGGATGCACCCTGCATCGTGCTGCCGCACCAGAGCGACTACGTGTCGCACATCGCCTTGGACATTGGTGCGCTTTTCTGCTGGCAGATCATTGAAGGCCACTTTCGGCTTGAAGGCCACTTTCGCTCTTCCTCAGTTGTATCACCATGCTGTATTTTGGCCATGGCAGGTGGCTCCCTGATTAAGCTCATCTACTTTAGGATGGACGACGACGAGGAGCGGCTGCATGCCGCGGACGTGCAGAGCTGCAGCGTCCATGGCGCAGCTGGGCGGCCGGCCAGGGGAGGTGCGCCAGCACAGCCGCCGCATTCTTCTGGCCCGCACGTGTTTCACATCCGCCGCCACCTCCTGCTGCAGGCAAGCTCCACTTTGTAAAATTTGAGACTGCAAAGGTGGAGGAGTGCATCGCTTTCATCGAGGCGAAGGGTGCGATTGCTGCCTCTGTTAGTTGCAACCCCTTGGATTCTTGCTCATCTTGATTCGATCTGCTGTCGTGCACCCCACTTGCGTTGCCTGCCCTGTAGGTCTGCACCGCAGCAACGATGGCAGCGGCATCAAGATGCGTGTGAAAGCGACAGGCGGTGGGGCGTACAAGTTTGCAGAGGTGGGGCTGGTTTGTTCTTTGGTTTTGCTCTGGTTGCCAGAGCCTCATTGTCCTTCTGCCCTGCTTGCACAGCTGTTCAAGGAACGCCTCGGCCTCATCATTGAGGGCGAAGACGAGATGGCGTGCATGGTGGAAGGCTGCAACTTCTTCTTGAACGCTGGTGCGCAGTCGTGTTGTTGAACCTCATGGCTTCCACAACGGCACTCTCTCAGATCAGGCATTGTTGCCGTGCAGTGCGCCACGAGGCCTTCCAGTACGAGAATGGGCAGCTGCAGTTTGTCGACTTGCCCACAGCGGGTGCGTGTAAGAGGCGTTCACAGCACAGAACAGCTGCCTTGGTATGCATGACCCTCCCGTTGCCATGCTCCCCTCCAACTGGTACTCCTGTTCATGCGTTGTAGAGCACTACCCGTACCTGCTTGTTAACATTGGCAGTGGCGTGAGCATGGTGCGGGTGGATGGGGAGAGCAAGTTCCAGCGCGTGTCAGGTGTGCTGCACGGCTGCCTTCTTGCACGAATTGCAGTCGAGGCAGGTCGAATGACTGCATTACTCATATATACTAGATTTATGTTTTTGATTCAACGCTCTGGCAATTGTGGGTCTGCAGGCACCAACATTGGTGGTGGCACATTTTGGGGCCTCTGCAAGTTGCTGACTGGGATGGACAATTTTGACGACATTCTGTCCCTCAGCAGTCAGGGAGACAATAGCAATGTGAGCGCAACTGGACACGAATGCCTGTGCATGGAGTCCCCTCTTTGTAACGCACGCGCGCGCACACACACCTTGCCAATGTTCCGGTGTGTGTTGTGCTTTGCAGGTGGACATGCTGGTGGGAGACATATATGGCGGCAGGGACTACACAGGCATTGGCCTGTCGGGTGAGCCAAATGTGTTGTGCTGTGCGTGGCGATGGCCGGGGGTCAAGCGTATAGCTGCTTGCACTGACCATCTTTCCAAAATGCTGCAGCCAACACAATTGCTAGCAGCTTTGGCAAGGTCATCAATCAGCACCAGGTACAATTCTGGATTGGTGGATGCTGAATCAAGCAGCAGTTGTAAGTTTCTCTTGAGCTACAGTCTGCCTTTGTCGTAAGTTTGCAGGAGCTGGAGCAATACAACTCCGCTGACGTGGTTCAGTCGCTGTGTCGCATGATCAGCTACAACATTGGACAGCTGGCATATCTCAACGCCAAGAGGTGTGAAGTGGCCCATCATCTTGGTTGAAATTGATTTGCGTTTGTTGCAGCACGCGCGCGGAGGGCAGAGACATTGGTGCAATGCAGGTACAATTTGAGCCGCATATTCTTTGGTGGATTCTTCATTCGCGGGCACCCCTACACAATGGAGACCATCAGCTTTGCAATCCGCTTCTGGAGCAAGGTGCGTGACCAGTTTGCCGCTAGTTCGGCGATACACGGCGTCCCACCTTGGCATGTCATTGATGTCTGCAGGGAGAAATGGCGGCCATGTTTCTTCGGCATGAGGGGTTCCTGGGAGCAGGTTTGCTTGTCGCGTGCAGCAGCCAAGGCGGATCTGTTCCTCCTTGCTAGCACACATCTTGGTATTGTACATTTTGCAGTGGGCGCATTTATGAAAGTACAGGCGCTGCAGACGCTTCAAGGCACGGGCGCAAAGGATGCGCACAAGGTAAGTTTGCTCGTCAACTTGTGGCATGGCGAATAGCACGGTCAAGCTGCGCATGGAAGAGCCATGTGAAACTGCCCAGTCTATCTGCAGGTGCGGGCTCGCTTTGTGGAGCGCTTTAGCATGGGCGCACCCGTCATGGGTGGCGAGGTGCGGGGCCCTGCCATCACAGGTGCGCCCCGGGCAGCCATTGCAGTGATGTTTGGGTCCTGTATGCAGCGCCTCTTTGCCGGCTCAGCTTTATTTTGGCTACTGTTACATGCAGGTCTGCCTGACAAGATCAACTGGGTGGAGAAGTTCGTGGCGGTTGGGCGCCCTGCCTCAGAGGCAGCCAAAGCTGAGCATGAACGGTAAGTGGGGCATCCTGCTGAGATGCGTGGCCTGTTTGATCATGGTACTTGATCATTGGTGCTCTTTTGCCGCTGAACCGTGCAGGGCGGTGGAGCAGCAGCGCCAGCAAGTGCGGCGTGCGACTGCCTCTGCAGACGTTTCCGATGCACTTGCAGCAGCGGCGGCGGCAGCAGCCCAGCGGCAGCAGCAACGCATCAACTTCCATGTTGGGGTGCTGCACTTTACCCCATCTTCTGAGCCTTTCCCGCTGCTGGCCGAAGCAGTTGAGGTGAGCGCAGCTGCTTATGTGCTCTGTGTTTGGCTCGGCTTGGGTCACTCCCACTCCGAAATTTTTTACTGCCCACCCATCAAATGGACCACTTGAGCTTGCAGGCTTACAACCCTTCCACGATCGACATCAACAATGATGCAGTGGAAATGGCATATTGGATAGGCATTCTACAGGCAAGCTGAGCCTTGGATGGACCGGTGATTTGAATGTTGCATGTGGTCCCGGCTTCATCCATCGTTTCAATCAACTGTTTTGCAGGAGCAGATACCACAAGTGGTGGAGAAGGCGGCAACAAGTGAGGGCAGTACCTCCGAGGCGCAGCGCCGGGCGGCAGCCTTTGGGCGGGCGCTGGACCTGCACCTCACTCGTCTCAGGTGCGGTCTTGGTCTGAAACCTTGTTGTCTTCATCTAGTTTGTTTCCTCTTCTTCTTCCACGTGATTGCTTAATCTCCACCTGGCTGCACACTGACACCGAACAGGAGCAAGCCTGGCGCGTACGGACAGCTGGGCCTGGCAGACTTGTTTGAACTGCGCGAGGAGTGCTTGCGCGAGTTTGGTTTTGCAGACGTTTATAGGCAAGCAGCTTGGGTTGTTGTCTCAGCTCTGTGTGTCAATCATAAGGTGCCCGAGTCTTCTGTCTGCTCGGATGCTGGAGCAGTGGACAGTTTGATTCCACTGCCCAGATGGCCAGCGGGTGAATTTTCTGGCACGATGCAATTAAACCTCATGCCTTGGCATGTGCAGGAAGGACAAGGAGCGTGAGAACAGCGCAGCCCTGGAGGTGCTGCCTGACCTGCTGGCAGAGCTGGACCAGATGCCGCCGCCGCAGCGCCTGCTTGCACTCGTGCAGGCAAGTAGGAGCGCATTCACTGAGTGTCCTTGTGGCTGGGTCTCAGTCTGCTGAAACGATTTGATCGCCATTGCAGGGCGTGCTAGCTGCCAATATCTTCGACTGGGGCGCCAAGGCTTGTGTGGATTTGTATCTTAATGCCACCATCCTGGAGATGTACAGAGAGGTTGCCTTCTGACGCAAACACTATGCGGCACCTGCATTATGACAGCCCCCAGCTAGTTTTTAAGTTTCATGAAGGGTGATTCGTGTTGCCGTGGTGCCGCTGCCCATTGTAGGCCCGCACCAAGCTCAGCCAGCGACCATGGAGAGTGGACGACTTTGATGAGTTTGCAGAGGCAAGCATCAACAGTCTGCCAGCTGTTCTCTAGCAGTTGTCCCCCACACAATACACACATATTTTTGACGTTGATATCGCAGGTTTGGTTCAGCAAGACCACTTTGAACGTAGCTGGAGAGGGTGAGGTGTCAACAGCCGTCACAGCACCCACAATTTACATTAGTTGTTGACCTGCGGTCATATCGGCAACCGATGCCTGTTAACAGCTTGCAATCGATGCCTGTTAACGGCGTCAGTGGGTCAAAGTGCACTTCGACCAAGGTGGAGCCAAGCCGTTAACGGTGAACCAATGCCTTTTAATGGCTTGCAGGCACGGTTGTCAGCCCCTACCAGCGCGTGATGATGTTTGTGGACAATGCGGGTGCGGATGTGGTGCTTGGCATGCTGCCATTTGCACGGGAGCTGCTACGGATGGGTGCTGAGGTGGGTTACCTGCTTGATGTGGCTCCGCTTGGAAAATCTACTGAGGAGCGCTGAGAACTGCGGTTTTCACATTGCTGCCTGCCTGCCCCAGGTTGTGCTGGTTGCCAACTCGCTGCCGGCTATCAACGACATCACGGCGGGCGAGTTGCGAAGTGTGAGTTCTAAGCTAGCGTTGCGAGGTCATTATTGTGCTGTATTTTGGCGAGCGATTTACACTGGCGCCTCTGCAGGTTGTTGCCAAGGCAGCGGAGGCATGTCCCATCATCCGTGCAGCTCGCGATGCAGCAGTAACTGCTGAGGCAGCAAATGGCGGCCGGGTGCCCCCTGTACCAGGCTCGTGCAAGCGCCGCCTTGGCTCGTTTTTGCTGGCCCAGTCTGCTCAGGCTCAGCATGGTGGCGCATGCATTGACAACACTGCCGGGCGTTGCAGATCCTGATCTGCCCTTCCATGTGATGTCCATTGTGGCATGCAGGGTATATAAATCCAAACCGCGCCCCCAGTCCAGATGTGACTTCTACCATGAGTGAGGGCAGTGGCAGAAGAAACGCAAATATGCATTGTTGGGAGAAGCACCGCTGATTGCCTGCTCAGCTTAATGTTTTGTTATGCTGGCGAGGTGTGCTGAACTGAAGGCTCTATGTTTCCATGTTGTCGCAGGCAGTCCGAGCCAATTGACGATTCAAGAGGAGCTGCCAGCAGCCCGCAGCGCCACAGGCACGTCTTGGATCTGGACTATCCTCCTGGATGCCATCCCCATACATGTATGCAGGGCTGCTCATGTAACATGTAAGCTTGTTGCATGCATGCAGGGTTTGCTTTCTCGCCAGCACCACGACGAGGCATGCCCATCAGTGGCAGCACGCTGCTGGGCCCACCTTTGCCCGATGGTTCTTCACTGGCAGAGGCGTTGTCTCCAATGCAATCGCCTAGCACAGCTGGGCCCTCAGCCGTGAGCTCGCCGCCGCGCAAGCCTCCACTGCCACCATGTTCACACTTGCAGCACCCGGGAGTATCGGGCACACGTGCAGATCAGGCGTCCAGCAGCAGCAGTGGAGCACTAGAACGAGCCAGCACAGCCTTGGAGGCAGCATCTCTTCAGGACTTTTCTTCGCCAGCAGCAGTGGCAGCTGCAGGCATGATATCGACAGGGCGCCCTGCCCTCAGGTCGGCGCAGGGTGGTAATGTCGCCCCTGAGGAGCCAGCCACCAGCAACGGCAAAGGCAGGGAAGCCACGGGTAGATTTGCGCGGGGTGAGCAGCAGCTTGCAGCCCAGCAGCGGCGGCGATCCCCCGCAGGGCGAGGGTGTGTGTGCAAGGGACCGTGGGGAGAATCGTATCCATCACCCTGGCGCGATCCCAGGTGCGAAGGCTGTGGGCTGCTGGTGCCATCCTGATGTCTCATGATTGGACATGCCACCCCCAGACCGTGTATTTCTGAGCATCCTCTACCCTTGCATGATTGGCATTCCATGCACCACACAGCGTTGGTGCCAGTGATTTCTGGTGCCTACGCGGCTACCCTTTCTGCAGGCTGTTCATCGTGGCCAGCGGCCATGGCAGCCCGTGCTTGGACCTGCGGCGAGTCAGCAGCGAGGTGGCAGACGCAGCTGCAGGCACCGATCTGGGTAAGCTCGTAGCTGCGAGAGCATGAAGCGCTCGCCAGATATGTGTCATCTGTTGATGAAAACCATTGATGGAAGCTCGCTGTCCTGTCCTCACGTGCAGTTGTGATCGAGGGCATGGGCCGCAGTGTGCACACAAATTGGGGTGCACTGTTCAAATGCGACGCACTGAAGCTGTCGATGATCAAGAACCAGCACTTGGCGGAGACGCTTTTTGGGGGCAATAGCTTCGAATGTGTGTGCCGCTTTGACGAGGGCCTGGATTACTGATTTGGTTTCACTAAATTGCGTCCCTTGCTCTCCCTTCAAACCTTGCTTACACGCCGCAATGGAGGCAATGAAACGATCAAGTGCTGCTGAACGGGAAGGTGTGACATATTTTGTTGCATGCTCGAGTTGCCCAGCAATTTAAATGGCAGCAAAGTATTCCTGCAGAAAGCAAAGGGGGCAGGATTGGTTGTGTCGGCTAGCAGGGGCGGAAGGCACGCAGCCACAAGATTGAGGCAGCAGTCAGCTTCAAGAACCCTCACCTTGCTGCCGGTTGGGTCCGGCTTCATGGTGGCCGCGCCTGCATCCGGGAAAAGAATGTTGGTACAAGAAAATTGGGTGAAAGTGTCCTGTGCACGGGCAATGCTTCAACCCATGACGGAACGCCCGCAACCAGGTGCTCAAACCACACAACCCTGCGACTGCTTTTAACTCACCAGGCTTCCAGCCAGCAGGGCACACCTCGTCGGGGTGGGCCTGCACATACTGCAGCGCCTGCATTCCGGGCAAAGGCACCAGTTCTCGACGCGTCAGACCTTCTCAACGGAGAAACGTCAGGGAGGAGATAGCAGCCCAAGACAAAGCACACACACCTGCAGCACGCGCAGCGTCTCGTCCACGTTGCGCCCGAAGGCCAGATTGTTGATGGTGCTGTGCTGCACAATGCCCTCGCGGTCGATGATGAAGAGGCCGCGCAGCGCCACGCCATCGGGCGCCAGCACGCCGTAGGCCTCGCTGATCTCGCGCTTCAAGTCGGCCACCAGCGGGTACTTGAGGTCGCCCACGCCACCCTGCTTGCGATCTGCATTCAGTGGAGAGGCAAACAACACCCAGGCACAGGCTTGCACCAACCTTTGTGCCGCACAGAGCTAGGGCACGGCTCCAAAACGACAACACAGAGACTCACCGGTCTGGATCCAGGCCAGGTGGGAGAATTGGGAGTCGATGGAGACACCCAGAACCTGAAAAAGCAGGAACAGGCCAGGGGGAGAGTTCAGGTTCCATTCCACAGTTGTGTCTTTTGGTGCAACCACAAGATCGAGGTTCAATGCAGAGCGGAAACCACCTCGGTGTTCAGCGCCGCAAACTCATCGTAACGGTCAGAGAAGGCAGTGATTTCGGTAGGGCACACAAACCTGCAACAAAGATTCAAGGTTTAGATATCTACCATAGCACCAGCGTGCACAGCCACGAGAGACGCGCCAGGCAGATGCAAGGCAGGCGGCCCACTGACGTGAAGTCCAGGGGGTAGAAGAAGAGGACGACGTACTTGCCCTGCATGCAGTTTGGAATATGATCACCCTGCTGCGGCAGCTTGGCATTGTGGCATGCGAGGCTTCAGCAAGATGCAAAGCACCTTGTAGGAGCTCAGCTGGGTCTCCACAAACTCCTGATCGAACACCGAGGTTGCAGTGAAATCGGGCGCGGGGCTGCCGACAAGCGGCGCCTGCACCAGCGGGCGGCGGCAGGAGGACGCGGCGGCCATGGCGGTGGCAGGGCGGTGGCAATGCGTGCTCCCATCCACATGTGTTAATCTTGTGGGCGATACTTCAGCTCGCTGTAAAGTGCTTTCGCACGATGCCATGTCCGCCCATGCGCCAGAGCATAGTCGGGCATCGCGGCCCGATCACACATGCTGCACATCTGCGCCTCGATGCAACCGCGCGGGGGCGGCCATCAACGGCATGTGGGAGGATCCTATCTTTGGGCCCATCAACTCGCACCACTCACCGCTGCCTTGCACACGGTGCTGATCTCCTTGCGCGTGGCGCGCACAGAGACGGCCTTCAGAGCCTGGCCGCGGAACTGGCTGGGGCGGAAGGCCACGGCCCTGCCCACCGCGGGGGCGGCAGCGATCATCGTGGCGGCCACCATATTGCACGATCAATCAGCGCATGTATGGAATGCTGCGCGCGCTTTCACAATCGGCACTGTACTTTGCGCAGCGCTGGTACAACGCAGTCGAGGTGTTCGGAATTTAAAGTATACGTTTACAGGCACACAGACGTTGCGGTGGAGGTCGACGCTTCGATCACTCGTTGTTTTCAACCAAACTTTGTGCCCCTGTGTTGCCGTCCTGGCTTGATGGTCCCTGCATTCGCATCGGCTAGGCAGGCGCCATGCCCGTGAACCGCTACACCGCGCTCTTCAATGGACAGCGCAGCCGGGGCGGCGCCTCCAGGCAGGGCCCCGCCGCCGCCCCACACGGGCTCGCTGCCCTGCCAGACCGGCCTGGCCTGCCGGGAGGTGCTGTTGCAGAGCCAGAGCGCTTCGCAGCCGCGGCAGCTGGCGCTGCGGCCCCGGCTGGCAGCGGAGTTGGTGCTTCGGCGGCGGCGGCTGCGGCTTCCTCGGGCGCACCCTCTAGTGAGCCTGGGAGTCTCAACAACAAGTTGCCATGCTGAGATCGCATTGGTTTAGCGCCGGGCTGCAGCCCCATGCATCCACTTCCTCGGTATCCAACCTGGGCCTCTGCAGGGCGATCAGCCGACGTGCGAGACAGCAAAGTCCAGGAGTGGCTGCAGGTGGCCAACAGGAACCGCATCGGGCCCAAGCTGCATGCGCTGAGGGAGGAGCATCAGAGGGCGGGCCTGCCGCTGTAAGTCGTTGGTCTGCTATGCCGGGTCGACGTGCTGGGGCTGCACAGCCGCCTTGCACCATGCCATCGCCACTACGCTGTGGCTTGCATGCAGGGAGCGGTACAGCATGGCGCATGTGCACCAGCTGGGCACCGCCCGGCAGGGCTGGGTGCAGCAGCCACGAGTTTACTGCAAGAACATCCACCGCAAGCGCGACCGCGACGGCAGGAGTGTCCGATGCGCGCAGTGCACCACCTGCCACTGGTGCAGGTGAACTCTGGCTCTGCACACGTGCAGGAGGCATGCCTGTTCAGCCATAGTCCGGCAGTGTGCAACAAACTTGTGTTTGACCTCTTCAATGCACAAGGTGCAGAGCACCTGCATTTTTCTCTCTGCTTCTCTCAACCACCTGCGCTGCTGTCCTGCAGGCAAAAGACTACCTGCATGAAGACCCAGTGCTCTGCCTGCCACGGCAACCGAGACAACATCTATGGCGGTCCTTATGCGGGAGTGATTTGCGGCAACTGCCTGTGGACACGCTTTGGTGGGGTCCTAGCACGCATCTTGCCGGCGCTGCCTTTATTCGTTATTGTATTCTGCACGCGTGCTTCGTCGCTGCACGCCCAGCACTGCATGTGCGCGCAACCTGCGTGCTCACATGGCTGCAGGAGAGAATCTGAATGAGGTGGTGCGTGACCCCAGCTGGACCTGCCCTGCCTGCCGCCAGATCTGCAACTGCTCAGGTGTGGGCTCAGCTTGTTTCTGTTGTCACCAGGGGCAATGTAGCAGGTGGAGTTGGGCCCCACCACACCTCAGGGTTCCGTTGCGTGCCCACCTGTCTGTGCCTTGGGGCTGCAGCCAACAACTGCGTACGGACTAAGAATGGCTGGATCTGCACCGACCAGATCAACACGGAGGCCACGAGTCTCGGATACGAGTCGGTGCGTAGGACCATTGTCGCTTGGTGCCCATGTCTCACCACCTTTCCTGCATGCCTGGGCAAGCCTGCATGCATTCAGCTCTACACCCCTATACATTGTGGTGGTGCTAAGGCACACCGCCACCATGCATGCGATTGTTGACATTTGGTTGCGGTGCTCGCCCTGCATTCTGCCACAGGTGGCTCACTACCTGGTGCTGGCCCAGCTGGATGAGTCGCTGTGGGCCGACATTACTGACAATGTTAACAGCTTACAGCCGATGGTGGACCGAGCAATACTTGACCGTGCAGCGGCTGTCAAGCACCAGCGCAGTGCAAAGAACACTGCGTAAGCAGCTGCACCAAGAGGTGGTGTAACTTCATCTGGCACCATTCTGCCACCCCACCTCTGCCTTCTCTCTTCTCCCATTCCGACTCCCCTGCCTCCTGCGTGCAGCTCCAGGCTACAGGAGGATGCGGCGCCGCTGGTGGAGCGCCAGCTGGCAGCAGTGCATGCTGCCGTAGGCTTCTCTGCGCAGCGAGCGCTGGAGATAGCCAACAGCAACCGGCGGCTGCTGGCGCAGCTAGGCTTTGGGCACAGCACTCTTGCGGCAGACTTGCGAGAAGACGAGGAGGAGGAGGAGGAGGAGGATATGGCTTCTCCTGGCAGTGAAGTTGCACCAGGTGAGGCATTCATTGACTCATCAGCTCTATGTACTGGCATCTCTTGGTGCATCAAGTAGTAAGCCACTGCTGCTATTTTGTTTCATTTTGCAGCAGGCACGCGATTGCAGGCCGAAGCTCAGGGGCAGCAGCCAGACTTGGCCTCGATGTCCCTGGCCTCCCTGTGCACCGCACTCGGGGGCAGCACAGTGGCAGGCAGTGCCTGGGCTGCACGACGCTTTCCACCTCGGCCACCTGGGCAACTGCCGCTGCAACCTGTGCAGTCTAGGGCACCTGTAGCAGCTGCCGCTGCTCCTGCTGACGGTCTGCTTGACCTTTCAGCAGCATCCTTCTCAGCAGCTGCACGCGGCAGCAGAGGGGAGTTGATAGGAGCAACACGGCAATCAGCATGCACGGACGCTGCTGATGACTTGAATGCTGGACGCGGCTCTGGCCTGGCATCAGAAAGTGGCACAGCAGAATGCAGCGGTACAAAGGCCCGGCAACAGCAGGTGCAGGGGCTACTGCACGAGGACCATCACGCTGCCTTTCCGGCTGTTCTGCTGGAAGGTGAGTTTTTGTGATGTGTGTTTTCGTCATTGAAACAGCTTCAGTTGCAAAGCGGGTGCAGCATGTATGTAGACTGTTGCGTGTTGCTTGATTTGTGCAGGTAACGGCATGCTTCCCTCTACTGATGCAACAGCAGGTTGCCGGCCTGCATGCGATGTGGCAGCGTCTCGTGTGCCGCAGCCTTTGTTGGCAGGAGCAGCAGTATTGGCAGCCAGCCTGCCGCAGCATCAGGGTCTACGGCAGCGGCAGCAGCAGCAGGCTAGGCTAACGCCCACAGCGGCTGGAGGCAACAAGCAGCAACAGTGGCAAGCTGTGGAAGCAGGTGCTGCACTTCCATTGCCGGCAATTCGTAGCCTCCCAGCGCTGGAGACGGAGCCAGCAACAGAAGGGGCACCCCCACCTGGTGCTGCCAGCAACTGTAGCCGGCAGCAGGAGGGGCATGTCAGCGGTGGGACCGTGCCTAGCCCATCGGAGGCGGCCGAGTCTTCTCAGCAGCTGGGTCTATCGCCCCATGCTACATTCCATGCAGCAGCCTCTGGGAGGAGTGTTGACTGCGAGCCATCAAAGCAAGTAGCCACTGAAGTCCCGTCACCACAAGCAGATGCGGGCAAGGCCGCAGGTGCCACCACTCGAGCACCTGTGTCTTTTCCAGCAGCCGCTGTGGATCCCGGCAAGGTTCGGCAGCATTCAGGGGTTGCTCTTGAATGGGGCCACCTGCTGCGGACGGCGGAACTGTTGGTGACAGAGATGGAAGCGAGCGACCCCAGTCACCCCTCCTACCGGCCAGATGCCAGTCTTGCGACTGTGGACGCTGCAGAAACCCGCTACCGTGATGTGGCAAGTGTCAAAGTTGTTTGGCAGCGTTCCTTGGCCATTCTGCGCTCATCTTTACGCAACAACATCCATCTGATTCCTCCTGCAGTACAACGTCAACATGGCAGCGCTGCAAGGCATTCTCACAGACGCTAATAAGTGCCTGGCGGAGCCTTTTTTGGCTGACATGTGAGACGAAGGGCGATAACAGCAGCGCACTAGGGCCACCAGCCTACCGCCCTGCTCAATTGCTGCCTCTTTGTTGATGAGCTGCTTCCTGTTGCCAGTTTTTCACCCTTTGCTGCTGCATGAATCACTCTTTGCTGTTGCATGATTGCAGCCAGCAGGAACTTGGTGTGGCAGGCAGTGTCGTGTCTGTCGATGTTCTGTATCCGTAAGACATGCTGTTCTGTCATCTGCAGCTTGCATGGGGGATGAACACTTCATTTACAGCCAACTTGAAGGTGAAGCGTAACGTTATGACACTACTGCCGTTGCAGGCTGATCGGGCTGTACAACTTTCTGGCCGGTGTACTGCCTGATGATGCTGTGAGGTGGCAGATTGTGCCGCGCCTACTGCGCCAGGTGAGCACAACTGTTCACCATGCTCCTCTCTCGCCATTCCTGCCAGGCTACTGAACAACCAGACGTGTATTGCCTTCTCCAAGCAACGTGTATTGCTTTCAACTTTGGCAGGACTGTTTTGTGGACTTTGCCAACAGCGGTCACGCTGCCCGCTTGCTCCTGGTGGAAGGCATGATGAGCCTTCTGCAGACGCTGCGCGGGCGCCAGCTGTGTATCAAGGACACCTGCCAATCTATTGCCAGCGCAGGTGCACTTGCAGGAGTGCACATGTACATATGTTTCAGGCTTGAGATGGACAGCTTTACTGTAAGGTTTTGCTGGTCCAACTGCCTGAATCCTGTGAGTGCGCCCATGCCCCATGTGTAGTGGCCACAATGGCAACGGAGCTGCAAGCCACCTCGGAGCTGCTGAGCGAGGTGCTGGATGCAGAAGATAGCCCAATTCAGCAACATCCCACGCAGGATTGGCGCATTGGACCATATGTGTATGATGCGGAGGAGCGCCGCAAGGATGTCGGGCGTGTCTTCTCACAGCTTGAAGCCAACTACAGCGTGAGCGACTGCTTGCTGAGATTCGACATGGCCATCAGGCTAGCAAGATGCACTAGTCCTTTGTTTGTGGTGCGCCTCAAGGCTATTTCCACCCATCAAGCCCATATAAAGGCTTTATGACTGCAGGTTCTGGAGGATGTCCTGCGCACCTGCCTGGCGCAGTGCATGTCTGCTGCGAGGCTGGTGGAGCATGATGCTGGCCATTTGTTGGATCCTCTTCTGATGTCATCACTGCTGAAATTAGAATGCAGCATGCCGCGGGATGTCAAGCGTGCCGGGCTTGCCCTCTTTTTCACGGTGAGCATTTGTTGGGAATGTGATGGTCTTGCTGGTCCGCTGGGCTCTCCTCTGTGACGCACCGCGTTGCTGCATGGCTGTGGCCGCCTGAACAGGTATTGTCATTATCATCTCAAGCCCATCAAAAGGAGAGCATAGTGCTCTCTGTGGCCGAGACCAACCGGCGGCGCGAACTGCGCATGCAGCTCTGTCAGGCAAGCTGCGCGCGGGGCGGGAGTGGGGTGGGGTGGGGGGGCAACAGCAGCCACATTCACTCGAATGCTGTGTTGCATCTCAGTTTCTCTCGTCCAGCAGCTCATTCATGGGCCGTGCTGTCTTCAGGTGGTGCTGGAACTGCTGCCGACGCTCGAGGCTCTAGTGGCAGCTGAATACCCACTATGGCGCCCAGCAGCATCAGCGGCGGCTGCGGCAGGCAGTGGAGCAGCAGCGACATCGGCGGGCAGTGGAGCGGAAAACCTGGGGCAGGAGGCGGTGCGTGTGCAGTCTCGTTCAGGCCATGTATGCATTCAGAAACAATTTGGACATCGTATCCTGACGGGCAACTGCTGGGGCTGGAAGGATGCAGGTGACAGCCCTGGGACGCGCTTACGGATTCCTGATGGAGTGCCAGCAGATGACATGGCGGCAGTTGGAGGAAGCAGTCTGCCGCCCCTATAGCTGTAAGTGCTGCAAGCTCTCATGTGTGCAGCTGCAGCTGCAGTGTATCGGCATTGAACCCAGACCTGGCAAGATGTTTTGAGATCAATCAGTGACTCCTTCTTGCAGCTCCCGCGACCTTTTGGCAGTTCTCCAACCGCATGTACCGGTGCTTTGGCATGGCGCTCATGGCTGACACGCTCCGGGTTAGTAGGGGTGGTGGTAGTTTCCAACGGTGGCAAGTGTCGGCAAACGGCAGAAAACTGGAGATCTCATTCAAATGACATGCATGCTTTGTTTTGTGATGCAGCATGCCCCCAGCATCCAGGTAAACGACCAGCATGCACACGTTTGGATGCTCAAACACTGGCTGCTCTGCCTTTTGGACCGTGGCAAGCGCTTCACAACAGGTGGGCACTGTGCCAGGCGCATTCTCCTGCTCAAGCCATGCAATCCATTTTCAGTTTGAATGTCCATCTGCCAATCATTTTCAATGTCCATCGGCAGGCGAGAGCCTAACGATGGCGCTGGCTAAGCAGACACATCTGGCTGTGCTCTTCTCTGGCCTGCATCCAGATGAGGCAAGCGTTGGTTGACTGTTTCTGGTGGCACGGACTAGTGTCAAGGGTTGATTACTATAGAATCCTGTGTTTCCTGCTTGCAGCTGGCCATTGGCGATGATCGCAGCAGCAAGCGCGCTGCGAACCTTTTAGGGTCAGTGATTCGTAGAATGTGTGGCCTCTCCTGGCAGCCGCTGCTGGGCGAGTTGCTGCATGGTTTGGATGAGGTAAGCATGCATTGAGGTGGGGGCAGGTGCTAGCTGAATCGTGTTCGTTTATACAACACACAAGCAACGCCTTTGCACGTCGCCCCGGTACCCCACTGTCACCCCCATGCACCCATTCCACGTCGCAGCTGCTGGAGCGGCGGGAGAAGGAGACAGCGGGCGGGCAGGTGCACACCAAACTGGATAGGCTCCGATATGGGGCGCGGCTATACCGCCTGCTGGCAGCCATTCTGTCCGCAACAGCCAGCGCACGCTCCACTCAGAAAGCAGCTGGTGTGCCGGGATCTCGTGGCGCCTGGACCGGAGGGGCACCTCTACTGGATACCGGCTCGCTTCGGCAGCTAGCTCAGCGCATGGCGATGTTGGCAACTGGAAGCTGCTTGGTCGTACACCGCGATTGCCGCATGATGCGGACTTGGGCATCAACTGGAAATCATGATGGGGTGCATGGTATGTTGCAGAGCAAGGCAGACGTGCGACAGCGGCTGCAGGTGAGGTGTTGCGCATCCAGCGGCTATCGATATCGACCGTGGCTAGCATGCTACACTCTTCAGAAGTCAACCGCTGAGCCATTCTGCTGCCCTCCATACTTCTTCTGTTTCTTTTGTGTTTCAGAGACTTCCGTTTGGGGAAGTGGGCAGCCTGTGGAGGGTGCTGCTTTGCTGGGACGCTCCTCAGTCTTTCGCAAGTGACCTGGCGCTGCTGAAGCCCATGTGGACAGTAATTGGCTGCGTGTTGGAGCTATGTTCAGGTCTGTGTGGTTGCTGTCAAGAAGTCATGTGTTTTGGTAGCTGCTGGAACCCAGAGATATCACGCATCTGTTTGATTCCCTGTCTGTTGCAGGTGGAACACACAAGGATGCTGCCCTCTTTGATGACGTGGTGCTGGCGCGCCTTGCCGATTCCCTGCTGACGGACACCGGAAACCAGGGAAACGGCAATGGCATGGCCCAGCTGCGGGATTACGTGCTGGCCACCTTTGTCAGACGCTACCTGGGCCGTAGCCACCTGCGCCACGTCAGAAATGAGCGCAACGCTGTCAATGCTGTGCGCTTTTTGCAGGTCGGTTTGGGTTTACTTCGTACTAGCCAGTAGCTGGCATGGAAAATGATCCAGTGTGTGGCAACTTGCACATGCCTGACAACCGTCTTGCAGGCACTACTGGAGGCTGCCCACAGCACAGGCGGAGCAGACGTGGAAGCCATCCTGCTGCCCATGCTGCCACCCCTGTTATGCACATTGTTGCCGCTTGAGCGCGGTGCTGAACCTTCTCTAGCAGTCAGGGAGGCAGTGCACAGGTGCGCTCTGATTGAACGCAATATGCTAGCTTTGACTGCAACAGAGCGCACACACACATGTTGTCTTGCTCTTCATTGGTTGTCACATGTCTTGCTCTTCATTGGTTGCAAGGCAACCCCACCTCTCTTGTACTTCCTCATCGTCCAAATTGCAGGATGCTGGCTTGCTTGCTGGAGTGGTACCCTCGGCTGCTTCCACCGCTGGCGCCAGCCCCAGTGCATGGAGCACAGGGTGCCCTGCATGCCTTTTGGACGGCGGCAGCGGCAGACGCAGTGTTGTGCTGCCAGCAGCCGGTGCTTGGGTGTGTTGACAATGCCACGCGGTGCAAGCTGCTGGCCACCCTGTCTAACCGCAAGGTGTCGCCCAAGTTGCTACCACTCAGCAGCGAGGTGGCAGTGGATGCCAGCAACAAGCTACTCCACCGCCTGCTGGACCGCCAACAGTACTCTGTTCAGCCGCTGGAGCAGCTGGTGCAGCGGCAGGGCCAGCAGCTGGAGCTAATGCTGAAAGAGGAGGTGGCAGCAAGCGACGGCGAGCGGGGCAGCACGCAGTTCCGCCCAGCTGACTTCAACTGGACTGCAGCAGGCACAGCGATGCAGCTCATTCGGGCGTTTTTGAAGGCTGGCAAGGCAGAAGTCGCTGCGCAAGCCGTGCTCAGCCCCGTGCAGCCAGGCGCGGCAGCAGATGTTGCGCAGGCGGCAAGCGGGAGCTGGGAGCAGCTGCCAGCTGGCTACCAATGGGCATTGGCTTGCATTCCGGCGCTCGACGCATTGGTGCCGCTGGGCGAGAGCAAGTTGGGACCGCTGAAGGAGCAGTACAAGGAGCTGCAGAAGGCAGCATCCATTGCCATGCCGGACCGTTTCCGGCGGCGCTCCAAGCAGTCTGGTCGTCAGCTCCAGCAACCAGCAGCACCCACACCAGCAGTCAGCACCATTGGAGAACAGACACGCAGCGATGTATTGCGACTGCACGGGCAGCAGCGGGAGCTGCAGGCAGCAGCACCAACAGGCAGCAGCGTGATGCCATCCGCTGGTATGCCGCAGCCATGCATCAAGCAGGAGCCTGTGTCACAGGCAGCACGCCCCCATGGGCACCAGGCACAGCTGCAGCAGCCGGATGTTGCAGGTCAGCAGCAACATGTGTCAGATGCCAGCCAGCAGCCGCAGCGGCACCGCATGCATGTCACGCACAATGTGCAATTTGATCGGCTGGGCTTCCTGGAGCCACGCTCCAAGGTGGCTGCGGTGGGCGTGCTGGCCAAGTGTCCGGAATTGAAGGTAACATTATTTGCTTTTGCCAACATGCTTGGTTGTTGTCCAAAGCAATATTGAAGGCTGAATAATGAGTTTTATGCAGGTTTTCGACAAGGGCCCCATGCTGCGGCTCGAGCTTTGGAATCACCGCAGAGCTAAGCTGATGCTTCTGGTTCCTGAGCAGCACGCCTTGTTTCAGGAGCTGCAGGCTGAGGCATATCGCCGGTTCAACAGGTGGGTCGGGAGCAGAGTACCAATGCTTGTCAGCTAATGCGCGTTGGCTGCTGATCGACTGGTTGTAATGCACCCCCATGTGTGACGACTGACTGCTGCAGCCATTCAAGCGACCTGCGCATATTGCGGGTGGCCGATGCCCTGTATTTGGGCTTGACAGGCGCAGCAGTTGAGGGCGCAGCTGAGGGCCCTGCCACCAAGTCACCCACATGTATACTCAGGGACTGGAGCAGGTGCACGAGGGACCAGGCTCAGCTGGCGGAAGTGCTAAGCTGTGAATCAGGCTACAGTTTGCATGTTTACCCTGTTCCGGTGCTGATGAGCGCTCTTGTGGATCACACATGATGAAGCTGCAGGTTGGAGTGGGAGCCAAGTGGCGACTTGGCTGACAAGATTCGGCGGGCCGTGGCGGCAGGCCGGTTGCAGCTGCCACCCGGTCAGCCCATGCAGCAGCAGGGAGCTCAAGAATCCCGAGTATGCATGACAGCCACACCGCAAGGTGCTTTGACGCAGCTGACGCCGGTGATGCGCTGGGACAAGCGACAAACTCAACAGGCCAGCATGCGGGACGCAGCACTTCAGCATGCCCCACGCAACACCCAGCTGGAAGATGTTGGCATTGACCAGACGCAGCTCAGAAAAGCGCCAAAGCCTCGTGCAATGCAGGCCCAACTGTCACAGGCAGCACCAGCGGCAGCATGCCAGCAGCTGCAGCAGGATACTGCCCGGGGAGCGACAGCAGTGGGCGATCAGTGGCGGCGGATGGCACTGGACGTGGTGTTCCTCTTGAAAGACAAGGGCCTGCCCAGAAATGAAGTCATCCACACCTTGAAGGGCCTTGCGCATAGCAGTAGCATCGGAAGGCAGCAGCTGCTTGTGGCGGGAGCAGAACAGGTGGCAGCCCACGTGCAAATCCTGCTAACCTGACAGCATTGCCACACCTACTTGTAACAATAGCAGATGGGTCCACCAGCAATCTGTAAAAGAGCACAATATCACACTGCTAAAGCTTCAGATGCGCTGCTGCCGGCGCCTGGCTGCGCGCGGTAGCCTGCGCCGCTGCTGCCGCTGTTGCACCCTCCTTGTGCTGCTCGATCTTCGCAAAGACCGCTGCGCTCCGGCTGAACTCCGACTTCTTGCTTCCGCCTCGTGCTCGCTTCTTGCTGACGCTCTTTCCCAGCTGCATGGAGTGCATGGGAGCACGCAATTGGAATGGCCGACTGTTGGCACCGCTTGAGGAGGCAACTGTCTGTCAGCCAAAATCAGCTGTGCGCTCGTTTGCATACCTTGCGGGCAGCCTGTTCTGCTGCCTCTGACTTGCGTCCTGTGGTGGTGCCGCCCTGCACAGCGATCCGTGCTGTGCGCTCCTCCTCCTTGGATGCCCGTCGTTTCTTGCCAGCCCGCTTCCGCTGCAGCAGCAGCAGCAGCAGGCAAGCACCTCCTTAAATGCAGAGGCAAACTGCATATCTGTAATGCCAGCTTGTGAGCCCCACCTGTGCACGCCGCTGCTTCCTGTCTTCTCTGCTGAGCTCTGCCTCGGCACGTGGAGCCCCCGACGCCTCTGTGGCAAAGACCTCCTCGGGTGCCCGCATGCTCGCGCCGCTCAAAAACTGCAGGGCAGAGTGTGTGCATGGTTTCCTCAACCTTCCCGTCCAGCAATAAAATCCCTCATCATGCCTCCATTTAGTAATCCCCTCCACTTAGTGATACGCTCGTGCCAAGAGATCGCATCATGTGCGAAGTACCTGGGGAGCGGCCTCCTCCATCATAATTGCCGGGACATCAACCTTCACGGTCACCTCCTCAATCACGGGCCGAGGCCTGCAGCGGGTGGGCGCGGCGGCAGGAGTGATGTCTGCACAGTGCTGGCAGCTTGGACGGCGCATGGTCGAGCAGCTTACGTGAAGTGCAGGTGGCTCAGTGCATCCAGCTTGGCACACAGTGCAGAAAACTGCGCTCTTGCTGCCTGCCGCACTTCATCATCCTGCAGAGACAGGCCGGGGGGCAAGTCGATGATCAGATGATTGCAAGTTTGATGCACGACTTTGGCAAATCTACAGGCTGCCTCCACATGATGGCGAGGGAGCGATCGTACCTTGTCATCTGCAAACCCAGTCGCAGCTTGCATGTATTCTTGCTCGTACAGCTCCCCCAAGCCCTGCAGCACCAAACCAACAGCGCGCTGGGAACCAGCCAGATCTGCTCCCAGCAACAACCTGGACAGCCTAATCTGGAATCCCTTGTACAGCTATTATCTGGCCTATTCTTCCATCTCCACTAGCAGAGCAGAGGGAGAAGCATGCCTTGGCGCGCTGGCCAACCTGCTGTGGCTTCTTGTCGTCCAGCTCCACCGTGGTTCGCTTGGTCTCGAGAGGAGCCGCCGCAACGCGCACAACATCATCAAACCTGCAGCAAGGTTGCAGTATGTGATGCCAGGAGAAGAAAACACAAGGCGTGCTGCGACTATCAGCCCACCTGCCCTCTGCGATGCGCGCCTTGATCAACTCATCCAGCGTCCTGGTCATCTCCTCAGTGGGCTGCGCACACCAGGCGGGGTCTTGTGGTGGTGGACGGGCAATGCCAACGGCAGATGATGGGGTGGCCTTGGCACAGCACCTGGTACTGGTGGCCATTCCGTGTGAGCTGCCATCCGACTAACCTGCGGTGGTGGCTTGACTGTGGTCTCAAAATCTAGGTCAACCTCCAAGGCAGAGTTCTTAGGGCGGTGCCCTGCATCCACCTCTCCCTGCATGAACCAATCCTTCTCGCCCATGGCCGCTGCCTCAAGTTTCCTGTCGAGCAACAAAAGAAAAGCCAGACAGGGCGAGGCAAAGTCAGCACTGCAGATGCCTCTCCCCAAACAGAACTGGCACAAAACACCCGGAAAGCACGATATGCACCTGATTTTCTCCTGCATTCGCTGCTGCCGCCGCGCATGCGCAGAGGGAGCCAGCTCTGCGCCGTCCTCATCGTCCTCTTGCTCACTGCCATCAAGCCGATTCTGCTGAACACCTGCATCAGTAGCTGCTTCCCAGCCATCCTCGTCCTCGTCCTCACTAAATTGCCGCGGTGTGCCGTTGGCTCTTCCATGCCGCCCCTGCTCCGTGCCATCTTCCTCCTCACCGGACAGCATGTCATCCGACAGCAAGTCGTCTGCAGGAAGCCAGGCAAATGTCCAAGCAGGACTGTGCATGAAGCAGGCGCAAACGAGCAGAAGGGCAACACGCGACAACCGGTCCCCACAATGCAAGGTTGGCTGATTGCAAGGGCGGGTTGACAAAGTCAATCTTTACTGCCTTCCACCATAAGCCAAACGAAGACCGAGTCATACCTTCAAATCCCTCATCATCCAAGCTGCTTCGCTCCTCCTCCTCTGGCGTTCTTTCATCATCCTCATCCCCCAGCAGCTCATCTTGATGGCGGTGATTGCCACCAGCAGACACCAGCATGGGGCCCTGCCGGACGCCTGCAAGAGCTGGATCCACAGCACAGAATCACCAGGCAATCCTTGTGCAGGACCACGGCAAGCAAAGATCGATAGCAAATGTGAGCAACATACCTGAACGCGCGCCAAAAAAGTCCTCAAACATTGCCGTCGCCCCAATGTTCTGCCCATCCTCGTCCTCGCTCAATTTATCTCCAACTGCATGCATACATATTGCTCAGCAGTGTGCTGCACCCACAGTTGCAACTATTCTGTGAAGTTACCCCATTTTCTCACATGCCGCCTTCTTGCGTGCCTTCTTCGACTTTTTGTCATGCCCAGACGGCGCAGCCTGGTCCAGGAGAGCCTCCAGCTGAGCCTCTGCATGTAAGTTAAGTGCGGCAGCAGTAAGTAAGCTCAATGGCAGCCTAGGTAGAGAGACAAATACAATGGGGACGCTGGATATCCCAATGAAGGGCCCAGCAACCAGCCCCAAACTCACCCTCATCATCACTGCCAGCAGCTCTCTCAACATCCTCCCCACCTGCAGAGAAGAACACGGGTGAGCCTGTCAAGCTTTCCCTCGGCGAAAATCAAGCAGATAGTGGCATGCGATGGGGCTGCCATGACCCATGAGAAAAGTGCTGGCGCACCATCGTCTAGGCCCGCCGCCTCCCTCTCCGCCTGCTGCACGAAGGCTTCCATCTCATCTGCAGCAGGCGCATGCATGAAATGGCTCTAGTTCACACCACCACATCCTCCACCACATACAGTCTGCCTGCAAGCAAATAACAATCGACGAGGGTGGACTGCCATTCCGCCTACCTAGCTTGAAGTGCTCATCCTCCACCGACGTAACTGCTGCTGACCGCACACCAGTGGCACGCTTGCGCTTGATGCCGGCCAGCTGCCCCGCCTCTTCTTCACTGTCGAAGCCAGCCCGCGGCTGTCGATTCCGGTGCTGTGCAGCCCCAGCTGCCAGCAGGGCATCGTAATCAAGATGTGCCGGGTCAGTGGCCAACAAGGCATCAGAATACTCATCTTCTTCAGCACTTGTGCTGCCCTCCTCGCCTTCTGACAGATCCTCACTAGAATTGCCCTCCTGCTCCTCCACATCATCCCCGCACCCTGCCTCCTTCTCATCCAGCAGCTCTGCAGAGGCGAGCAGCAATCGACAGGCGGGATGATGAAAACTCTAGCAGATGTGCATGCAATCAGCTGAAGCAGAGCAGCACACGCCGCCCACCCAGCAGAGCCGCACCATCAATGGCCTCCTCCATCTCGGGTGTCACCAGCTGTGGCTGCTGCCCTGCTTTCTTCAGGAGCTTGCGCGCGAGCTGCAGCGCTGGTGGTACAGCCAGTTCCAGTTGCAGCCAGATCTGCTCCGCATCGAAGCCATCCACATAGAGCTCGGGCAGCACTGCAGCGTGACCACTGTCGCTCGCAGCAGCACCGTTGCTGCTCTTGAGCGTGCCCTCGAGCGTGGCCTGGTATTCGTACAGTGCCTTGGCTGCCGCCTTGGCAAGCGCCGCCAGCTCGGCAGTGGGCTGTAGGAAGGCCGCCGGGTCGGATTCAACCGCTGCTGCAAAGGCCTCGATGGCTGCTGCGGTACTACGAGGGAAAGCGTCTGCAGCAGTGCCGTCCCGCATTCCATCCTGTTCGCCCTGCTGCTGCTGCTGCTGCTGCTCAGCGCCCCTCGTAGGTTTGGGGGGGCCTACCCCGGCCCCCAAAGCTTGGCCCTGGTGTACATCCGCTGCCGCGGCATTAGCCTGCTGCTGCTGGCCCCCAGGCTGTGACACAATGCGGAAGGGTATCTTCTTCAGGCTGACCCGATGCACAACCTGCACCGGGCAGGCAGCACTGTGAATTGGAGCGCCTGGAGCGCCTGTGGGGGAAACCCGACTGGCCATCGCTCCGTACACCCACCTCGCTGCCAATCTCCTGAAGCCGCACGCTGACCATGGTTGAGCTGCAGGAGAGCACTGTGGCCTGGATGGGCGCCTGCAACACAGCGTTGCGGAAGTGAGGGGCGGCAGCGGTGGCAGCAGCGACGGCCGGCGGGCAGCGGCATTCGAGGTGGCGAACTGCAAAACACCGCCGCCTCGCCTTGCGCAGCCCTCCACTCGACCCGCTCTCGCCTGCATGTGTTCATGCATACGCACCTCCGATTCAACGTGCTCGGGCAGCTGCACCTCGATGACCGTGCCGACGGCCAGCATGATGCCGAGTTCTCAACACAGAGTTCACCGAGGCAGCGTTTAGCGGTCTGCCATGGCAGGCGGATGCAACCAAGTGTGGGAACGAGGAAGCAAACGTCAAAGCAGTACAAAAGAAAGCTAAGAAGGTGACGAGGACAGCTTTCACGAAGGCGGGCTATGCACTACATGCCTCGTCGACGCCACCGCCACCCCCGCCCAACACGCTACTGCCAGTGCCACCTTACACACGTGTTCAAATTTCTCAAAGGCAAGCACACGCCGTCACCGTCCTTGGTAGGCACCCCGGCGCGGACTCTCACGAGGGGCCGAGCCGCCAGCTCCAAACCGGCCTGCACAAGGGAATGCACCGCTGAAAGGCGTCTTGCCCACCTCCAACTCTAATGCTTCACCTGCTCTGTTCCGCCCTCCTAACTCCGACCCCAACGCACCTCCCCTGCCACCCCGCGCGCCCCGCCCGTCCAACCCGCCACGTCCGCCATGCGCGTCGGGCCCGGCGCCCCGTCCGTGTCCCGCCATAATGGGCGGGCCGCCAGGAGGGCGCCTGCAACAGCATGCAAGCAAGTTGGGGTGGATGCCACTTCCCAAGCCGTCATTGGACGGCTTGCAGCTGTCGGGCGGGGGGCCCACCTGTGCGGGTTCTCCATCGGCCGCGCAAACTTGACAAAGAAGGTCATGGTCTCGGGGTTGTCTAGGTCAAAGGGATACCCCTGTGAGCAGACGGGCGCCGCCAATCACCCCCGCGCCCAGTTGCCGCAAACAGCGCAAGTTTGCGTGCGAAACCATGATGCGCCCCCGGCTCTCCCCACACCCACCTGCAGCGTGTCCATGGCCTGCGCTGCAAAGTAGGTGCTGCTGTACTCCACAAATGCCATCACCAGCTTCTCCCCCACATGCTTCTTGCTGTCCTTGATCACTAACCGCAGGCTCTGCAGCAGGGAAATCGCCGGTTGGTTAAAATCGCCGGTTTTTTCAGTCTGTGTAGCACCCAACAGGCAACGGCACCAAACACGCACCCGGAAGCCTTCGCGCGAGCGGAAAATGTGGCCGAGCTCACGTCGCGTGACATCCGCTGCAGCACCAAGAACATCAAGGAGCTTCAGCGCAAAGAAACAATTACGCATGGAAGGTACAGCTATAATGCTAGAAACCTACATGGCAGGCCCTCAATGTACAGCGTGTTGCAGGCATCGGGCGGGTACTGCCGCATTGCTGTTGGTGCTAAAATCTCGCCTGCACACATCACGGGACAGATCCAGTGCCAATTGATCAGTGCCAATCGATCAAAATTGTGCAAGCACCTGTTGCATGTGTATGTCGGGTGTAATGTCGGGTGTCCCCCTGCCCCACCCACCTCTCTGCCCGCCAGGCATCCCCATGACCTGCGGTTGCGTCGGCTGCATCAATTGTGCTGGTGCTTGCTGCTGCATCGTCTGCTGTGGCTGCTGCTGCTGCATCATGGGCTGCTGGTGGGGCAGCATGCCAGACATCTGCAACGGAGAGCAGGATAATGAAAACGGCCATGTTCAGTTATAGAAACCTCGCTTCAAGATCGGTTTCTTTCGCTTTCAGCGGTACAGCACCTCACCTGCCCCATGCCAGTCTGCAGCATTGCCTGAGGTTGCTGCTGCGGCGGTGCTATGCTGTAACCCTGCTGCTGCAGGGACGGGGGCAGCAGTTGTGGCTGTTGCTGGGGCTGCTGCAGGGGCTGATTGAAATAGTTGGTAGAAAGGGGATGCTCCTGCTGCAAGCCGTAAACTGGCTGCTGCTGGGGCTGCTGCTCCTGCTGTGCCTGAGGCAAGTACTGCCCTGCAGGCTGTTGCTGCTGCGGTGGCAGCATGCCCCCCATGGCACCACCCAGCTGCTGCTGTTGGGACACCTGCTGTTGCTGCTGGGACGGCTGCAGGGTGGTGGTGGCCGGCATGGCACTTCCAGAGCTGTTGTAGCCATCGTATCTTCCGCCTCCTGCTGCAGCCCCCGCCGGCCCCTGGCCCTGCATTATGCCGCCCAACGGCAGCCCTCCACCCAAGTGCTGCTGATGGGCGCCCTGCTGCTGGAGCATGCCAGGTGCCTGCTGGTGCTGGTGCTGCAGGCCCTGTTGCGGCTGCAGCAAGCCTGCCTGATGCTGCTGTTGCTGTGTGGCTGCCAGAAGATGCTGGGCGAGGCCCTGCTGCTGCAGCAGGCGGGTCATTGTGCTGAGATTCTGCAGCAGGCCCAGCGCAGCTGCATCCTGTTGCTCCTGCGGCTGGCCGCCGCCTAACCCTCCCGCCATGCCCTGCAGCCAGAACCAGACCAGTCAAGGGGAAGAGCATGCCGGGAGGCCAATCAACCGGTTGGCAACAGATGAAGAGCTGTCGAAACCAATCAAAGCCAGCTGAAAGCTTTGAGCAGAGCCTGCGGCTAAACACGTACCATGGCGGGCATATCAGCGCGGGGCTGCTTGTAGTTGCCGTTGGGCTGGAGCAGGTCTGTTGGAAGCAGGTAGCATGCAGTGGGATCAGCGCATGCTGAAGGTACACAGGCAAAGAGATGGGGTAGCCAAAGCCGCTGGGCAAACAAGTGCCGGAACGTGTGCGCGTCGGCAGCGGCGGGGCGGCGCAGTGAGGACGACTGGCAAACGCGCCGGCTCTTACCCTCCCCCTCGCGCATGCGCTTCTGGCCGCCCACTGGAAGCTGGGTGAGCTGGGACAGGGAGAAATCGGTGAGCTCGATTGCCAGGCCGCGCCCGCCCCACCCAGTCCAGCCGTGGTAGAGGTTCTTGGCCTTGCTGGCATTCAGCTTGTCTGAAAACTCTGCATACCCGACCTGTTCGCCGCCCGGCTGCCTGCCCAGCACTCGGGCGTCCACGCAGCCCTCCAGCTGCCTCATCAAGCGGCCGAAATCTTCGGAGGTAACAAAGGAGGGAATGCAGCTGACTTTGAGGGTGGCAGGCGGGGTGGGCAGCTGGTTGGCGCCCGGCTGCTGCATCTGAGGCAGCATCATTGTGCGATTGGAGAAGAGAAGAAACAGCGAGTGTGGCTCTGCTACCAGGGCCATGGGCACAAGGCAGGCACAGCGCGCGTTTCGGCCGCCGCGGGCATCGGCGCCGCCCTTCCAACATGTGGCATCGGCCAAGAATGTGTTCCACATGATTCTGGTTACAAAGCAGGTCTTCCAGGCTACCGCTTCCAGTCTGGATCGTCTTTGCCGCTGCAGGGCAGCGAACAGTAGAGCGTGCGCATTGGTTAAGTTACAATAACCTGCCGCACAACCACCTCGCTGCTCCCACCAAAGCCATCCGCACCTCAGCCACCGCCCAAACCCGTCGAGCAGCTTCTTGGGGGCACTGGGAAGCGACTCCAGGGTCTCGAAGATCTCCACAAAGTCGGCGTTCGGGTCTTGCATGCCGCCCGCCTGCTCGGGATTGGACAGGACAAGGAACATACCCCCTTGAGCCATCTCCAGGCTATTCCCTATGGCCTATGGAGCAGCACCCCGCTGCCTGTGCGCACCTTGGTCGGGATGCCACGAATGGGCGCCAGCCGGCGGCGCACGCCGTCCATGGTGCCGCGCAGGATGCGCTTCTCGCCCAGCCGCAGCTGCAAGGCGGGCGAGGGGGCCGGGAGAAGGAGCCGTGGATTCAGTGCGAGGTGCAGCACTGGGGCCAACTGGAGGCATGGCGCACCGCGGGTGCTACACGAGGGCGAGCTATCTCTATCTCCCAAGCTATGTGTATATGCCACAGGCACTGCTGGCACTAGTGAGGTCTGTCTGTGCAGGCGGCACAACATTCCCCAGAGACAGGGACCAGGCAGGCAGCCAGGGCTGCACCCCTCCGCGCAGCGCGCACCTGCGCCGCCAGGCGCTGTCGGGGCGTCAGGTCCGTCCGCTGCAGGTCCTTGATGTCGTCGTCAAACTCCGTGGCATAGGCCTGGATCCTGGGGCAGATGGGGGAGTGGATTGAGACATAGGAAGCAGTGACGGGCTCAAGGCAGGCTGGCAAAGGCGGCAGCCAGGGAGAGGGTCCTAGGTGGCGAGCACCGGTTGGTGGCACAGCATGAATGCGCACGACCAACGCCTGGGCCATCACAGATCACAGAAGTTCAGGTTTCGCGGGTCCCCCATCAGCAGCCGCATCCCACGTGAACTGGGCCGACCTTTGAGCGGCGGCGGGGAGGGCGCCGGTACGGCATAGGGGAAGGAGCCGCTATGGCCAGGGGGGGAGCCGCGACGGCCAGGCCCGGAGAAGGTGGCCGCCAAAAATATGCCTACCCCACCCG